CGTGCATCACGCTATGACCGCTCTGCAACTGCTTCTCATAAAAAATGCATGGAATGGAATTTCAAAATTTTGTTCGGACAAAAGGGTGTGGGTGGGTGTGGGTGTGGGTGCGTGGGCGTGAGTGGGCGTGGGTACTGTCTTCGCATGGAGTACACCCACACCCACACCCCAAAAAAAATAAGTGCCAATCGTTGAAAAATTAGGATTTAAAAAATATATCAAACATATCTGGGATTATACATTCTCCCAATGACATCAACGAGATTATACATTTTATCTAAACCGGGTAAATGTATAAGCGAAAATTACTGTTCAAAGAACACCTTGGAAATAGGTGTGCTTATAAGATTTTGAGAAAAGTTTTTTACCAAACGATAGAGTATGGTAGCAGGTGAGTGTTTTATGAAGAAAATTTAAAAAAAAAAACACTAAAAAAGTTATAGTCATTTTGCTGAAAACCATTGCATTGTCTTCTACTTTTACTCCCGCTTACTCTATAGAGAAAGATGACAAATAAAATAAATTACCTTTCATTATCAATATGGGACAATAACAGATAAAAAATGATTTTCTATATATTCGCTATAAAGAAAATACAAATAGATGCCTAAGCATATAGTAGTATAAATGTTAAATAATATATTATTCGCTATATTATCAAGATACATAAATAAGAAATAAAAAATAAATGTACAAGCACATAGTTTAGAGTAAATCAAATATTATATCGTTTTCTATATTATATATATAGACAAATAACAAATATAAAAATATTTTGTTTTATATTTTCAATATAGAAAAATAGAAAAATATTCCCAGGCATATAGTAGAAAAAAATTAATTCATTTATTATTTTCTATATTATCAATATAGCAAAATAAGGAATACAAAAAATATATGTTCCAGTATATAGTAGAGGATACATAGAAAAAAATATAATTTTTCATCTCCTGATCGTCTTAGAAAAACTTCAACATCGATATTTTTTCTGTCGAAATATTTTGTGAAGAAAAACGTTCTCTATTATGTGAAAATTTCCGAGATATATCTGTACTTTGACTAATCTATTATACAAAGCATTTATTTGTGATGTCAAATATGATTTTACGATTCCATTAATAGAAAACATTGTCTTGCACAGGACAATTTTGTGTATTTTGTACATTTCTCCATAATAGAAACTATTGAATCAACAATTCTCGAATAAGTAAAAGAACATGATAGATCACACAGAATCAAATAAGAGTAGACAAGACTTGGATTATGTAATGCTATAACTTTCTTTTGTTTATGAATTCTATTTAGTCAGATAAAATCAGATCAGAGTCCTTTACTCTGTTCTTATATATTTCTTAATCTCAGAATCTAATAAGATGTCCAATGACATCTTTTATTCTGAATCTGACAAAAGCTTTTAAAAAATGCATCTATTTTCACTGTCTCTTTTTGATCTCTTCTAGTACATTTCTCTTTTTTCTTTCCATGTCTACTTTACATCTCATGCATATCCCTTCTCTCTTGCATTCTTTTTGTGCATGGCATCGCATCTAGTCTATTTTCAATATTCTTGTTCAAAATCTTTGAGAAGATTATTATTGTTCCGAGATTTCTATTATATATATCCGCCCTTGTGCCTATGATATTCATTATATTCAGAAGAATTCAGTGAAAACCCTCCCAGGATCGGTTTGTGATGAGCACTTTGTTCAGGGAATTTTTTGTATTTACTGTTCTAAATAAAGGAAAACTATAATTCTAATAATTACTTTACAAGACTGAAGAGGAAAACAACCTAATTTGGGCAAGAATACCAGTCCATCAATCAAAATCATAGAAATATGAATACATGTTATCATATTATCTCCAAAAATTAGCTTGGGCATCCGAGAGTTAAATACACATAAGTTTTTGGACATAATTAAATCTACGATTGATATCAAATAGTAGCACATTAATTTATTGCTTTATAAACTTTCTCATAAAATTTAAAGATAGGCACCTCCATTCTGTCCTGTTCCTACTCCATTTTCACTCTGATATCAACCATTTCAAAACACTTACTCTTCAGATCCTCATGAACATATTCATAACATGCGAGCTTATAGAAGGGTTCTCAGAATAAGAACTACATAAGGATTATAGCATGATCCTCATAGAAGATACTCATTATTTTTAGATTTTCAGATTTTGACAGAGTATCTTATTTAGTCATCAAGATTCTCTTCGAGGACCCTTATACAATGGTTTGAAGATGGTGTTCATCAAAAGTTAAAAATAACATTTTAGAATACTTTCTTTTCAAAGCCCATAAAATCCATAGATTCCAATGTTTGTCACTGGAGAGCTCCGTTCCGATTGACATCCATCTTTTCAGCATTTGCAAAAGTAGAAGCCCTCTCAGATTACATAGATTCGCGTGGGATCCTCTCAACTTTGTTCAGTTTCGCCTGTATCCAAACCTTCTCATGATCTTACTCAGAGTACATCACGGTTGTTCTTCGAACAGCTTGACATAACTTATCAAAAGCCTTATAAAATATCACCGGCATTCTCTATGCAAATACTAAGGAGATTTTTTGGCAGATCTATATTCATCATACAGAAAATCATGTATCCTTAAGGTTTCCTAAAAAACATAGGGATTAGGTTTGATATTTTGTTGTTCAATGATTCGATATTCTTCTCACAAGATACAGATAGAATCTTCTCTGATGTTCATATAAATGATCCTTCTGCCAAAAAGATTCTGAATTCTTGCAATTCTAAAAAAAATCCTCAGATCCTTATGTTTTTCTATCAAAAACTTACATGGAATTAGTATTATTCTTTCTTGGAGAACCTCCTTACAACAATCTCCAGATGTTATTTTTATAATCAAAAAGGTCTTGGCAAGAACTATAAGTAACATAGATGTAAGAATCGTTACCAAATCCTTTTTTTCTCATAAGAAACTAGGAAAAGACTTCTGAATTTTTATCTGCGGAATGAGCATTCTCAAAGACGAATGTCATATTTGTAGCGCTTGCTCCCACGAGAGACGGAATCCCTTTGACAACGATGATTTCTTTTCTTTTTTGTTCATTGTAGTAATTCCAAATATTCCAGTCGATGCCCGATGGAAACAGAATGGAGTGACTGTTGCTGGAGGCCATGGAAGAGGTAGTGGCACCAATCAACTCTACTACCCTTATGGTCTCTTCGTTGATGATGATCAAACGATAGTGATCGCTGACTGGAACAATGAGCGTATCATCCAATGGAAGATGGGTGATACGAATGGACAAGTAGTAGCTGGTAACAATGGCCTAGGAGATCGATTGGATCAATTGAATTGTCCAACCGATGTATTGATTGACAAAGAGACGGAGAGTCTCATTATTTGTGATTGGTTGAATCGACGAGTCGTTCGATGGTCTCGTCGTAGTGGTACAACTCAAGGAGAAATCCTCATTGCCAACATCCATTGTTATGGATTGGCCATGGATGATCAGAGATATCTATACATCTCTGACTACGAAAAACATGAAGTAAGACGATATCAAATAGGAGAGAAGAATGGAACTATTGTAGCTGGTGGCAATGGCAAAGGTGCTGGTCTCAATCAACTCAACATTCCGAGATACATCTTTGTCGATCAACAACAGACTGTCTACGTGTCAGACAACAACAATCATCGTGTAATGAAATGGAATAAAGGTGCAAAAGAAGGAATTGTCGTCGCTGGAGGCCAAGGCGAAGGGAATGCTCTGACACAATTATCGTATCCTAAAGGACTGTTCGTCGATACATTGGGTACCATCTATGCGACAGACTCGTGGAATCATCGAGTGATGCGTTGGCCTAAAGGAGCGAAACAGGGCACTATCATCGTGGGTGGAAATGGTTACGGAGAAGGAGCAAATCAGCTCAACTATCTCGGAGGTTTGTCCTTCGATCGACATGGCAATCTCTATGTCGTCGATAGCAGTAATCATCGTGTTCAACGCTTTTTAATCGAATAGACTCGTCGTGATAGATTTTTTTTGCGTTCCTTTCGTTTCAAATAAATCACTTTGAATTGATGAAATGAATGGCTTATTCTATTCGCGCGCGCGCGACCAGGAACCATCCTGGTGGAGCCGTGGCGAGCGTAACGCTCATGCATGCACAGGACAGACTCATATCATTCATACCCTCCCCGCGAGAGATATGTCAATGAGACTGAATAAGCCTGGTCGTGTGCCATGGACACCAAGACGATTCCTGGTCGAGCTTTTAGGGACTGCCCGGAAGTCCTGTAAATAAGAAGAACCTAACCTCAACGAACATAATTCACCCCTCCCCCACTAACGCTCACTTTTCTTAGTCTCACCCTAACCCCTCAATCTCACTACCTATTCTCATCTCAAAAAAAAAAAAAACTTACTTACCGTGTCTGATGTTGATGACGCGATGATATTAATAGCTGAAAGGAATAGAAAAAAAATTTAATCAATGTTATTTAATGAAATAGAATGAGATGACTTACCCTAATGTTATCTTTTTCTTCATTGTTTATTCCCTAAAATAAAAAAAAAATAAAAAGAAGATCAAAGGAGGCCTTACCCCACCATCCTTATGATTGTAAAAGAAAAAAAAAGTAAAGCTAATACCTACATTTTTTTTTTATTGTATGGCCTGATCTTGATTTGAGTAATATTGTATCATTGAGGCCAATCTAAAACAGAAAAGAAAAGTGATTATTATTTGATTCAAAAATTTGAATGATTTTACATAGAAAATCATTCGCATATATACCTTGAAAAATCATTTATTTCTCTCGTCGAAAATGATATACATATTTAATTGTACATGTTGATCATTGATCGTCAATGATAACAACATGAACAATGATTTATGGACGAGAGAAAGACAAAAAAAGAAAAGTGAAAACTCCTCTCTTCACATATATCTCTTTTTTCTTTCCTTTCTTGCTTGTTAACATTAACATCTATAATGATTTATTTATGAATTTTTTTATATTTTATCCCATTTGGCATGAAAATGAAACTGTTTTGTTTATTTTTATTAATGATACTCAATAACAACATTTATGTATAATTATTTTATTTGTTATGATAAAATACAAAATATATTACATCAGACAAACTATTACTTAAGTAGATATACTTAATGTTAAAAAAGTTGATTCAATTTCATAGACTGTCGAAAAAAACAACACAATGGAAGTTTTTAAATACTTAAATTTTTACAATAATATTCTTTTTGAATGAACATATCTAAATATCAACAAAATTTTAGATCAAAATAATTTATTACAGAAGTTTGAAAAAATCTTACTTTGTTAGGTGGATTTATTACAACAGAAAAGAATGGAACAAAATATATTCTTCTTTTGAATAAAAATTTATTTATATCGACATATCTATTCTATACACATCAAGATCAACAAAGAAAAAAGATTAAAAAAAATATATATAATAATGTTTTTAGTGATTTGGAAAATTTTATGTTTAATGAATAATGTTGATAAATCCATGTGTACAATTAATTTAACTAATAATTAAACAACAACATCGTCAGATTTCTTCATTATTATTATTTTCATCATCAACATATGATTAATAGTCCGTTACTTGATTTATTATTCAATACAATTATTAAAATGAGTATGTATTAGATGACAATATGGTTATAAAGAACAAAATATTAACATATATGATTAGTATTTAATTGGAATGGAATATAAGAGAGATCGAATGAAAATTAATATTAATTTTACAATGTTATTAAATATTATTCAAGTAAGATAATTATTCAATGAAATATATTTTACTAGTTAAAAAAAAATTATAGCGTCTGTTGAGTTACTTGTGAAAATATTCTGTTGTTAATAGACTTGAACAATGTTATTATCGGAAAAGCTAGATTTACAAATATATATATTATAAAATGATCTAATCTCACAGGTTCGATATTTTTTCTAAGGCTTTACTGGTCATATACTTAAGAAAAAATCTATGTATACTTTTTTCTATAAACATTATTTGATTGTTCGATACGATAGCAAAGTCTGAATGCGAACTCGCTTCTCAGCAATTAAACAATAGTTTTCAAAAAGAATGCATAAATTTTTTTCTGCTTGTTTATCAGTCGAATAAAATCATTAGAAAAAAAATATATCGAGCCTAACGAGATTTGATGTTTTTGATGTATTTCAGTTTTCGTAGACTATAATGAAATTCTTCTCGTACTAAATTGTCGGATACTGTTCCTCATTTTCGAATGAACTATTTTTTTCTAATAGATTTTAGAAAACTTTATGCTAAAACAATGGATGTGATTCATACATTAGATTTTAAAAAAATGAATACTCGTTATTATACTTATCATAAGGTAATTTTATTTCATTGAATGATAATGTAAGAAAATAAAAACTATTTTCAAATAGATTCGTAAACATAAAACTCAATTAGGTAAACAATATTTTGTTGCATTATCATGATATGACCTATTCAACGTTTACTTAAATCTATATCAACAGCATATATTGATTATCAATTATTAATTAATTCAGTGGATTAACCGTATTGATAATTGTCGAGTAAGAAAACGATTTCGACAGTATTAAGTATATTGTTGTTAAATTTTAGTCAGAATTCCTTGATGCACATCGTGATTATATAGAAAAATTTCAATTTATTGAACTTTCACAGAAATTAACAATAATACGAACACATTTAATTCGTTTATTCTTTTCTTCGATTGTCTTGAACATATGTGGAAAACATTCGGTATAAAAACATATTATACTTATTCAATTAAGGGATATTCAAAGTTTATTTGATATTAATCCATTATCATTAACAATTGATAATACTGCTATTGATTGTTTTTGTTTTTTTTTTGTAGAACTCACATCTTTTTTGAAGAAAAATAGAGTGAATGTAAGTTTTAAAGATAGGTGAGACGAAAATTTAGAAGTTTGTCAGATTCGTATTCATAATATTCTCATTAGAATTTATTTCACATTTTCTCAAGGCATCTCGTTGGTGATCATTTGTGAATGTGGTCATTATAGACTTTCACTTTAATAGTAGCAACTATGAGAAAAACCGGTGGTTCCTACTGCAACTGAAAGTTATAGTTAAATATTCTACGACTTTAAGCGTATAAATAAAAAAAAATACTGAAGACGTTTTTAGATATGATAAGATTCAATTCTGGAATAGTTTTCTCTATACCAGTACCGACATCCTTTTCGAGAATCGCGAAAGAAGTTCATCCAAAAGAAGTTAAGAGATTCAAAAATGAAAACGTATGAAAATCATAGTAACTTTAGAAGCAAAATTGACTAAAATTCGATTTCTCTTGATCCCTCATAGTCTGGTAGAAATTTTTCATTTCAAGTATGTTGTATGAGTATAATGAGACTAAAGAATACATGTAAGTTTTACATTATAATCTTCAATGAGTTGCATTGACACAATCTCTATTTTTTATTTAAATAAAAATTTTTCTAATTAAAGAAACTGAACAATTTGGAATACTTTGTTCAATTGATGGTCATACATGTATCTTCATCGTTATCATTGATTTCAACATCATGAAAATAATAAAACCGATGAATTTTATCAGTTAACTAAAGCAATTTTCGGTTGATCAATATTTAATTGATAAAGTAACTTAAAAAAAAACTGTAATATTCAATTTTTATTTTAGTCTTCACTTATTATATGTTTAAATTTTAGTGGTCTTCATAAAGCAAAGAAACGAGCAAGTGGAACTTTTTTTATTTAATTTAGAATCTAATAAACATTTAACAAAAAAAAAAAATTAATTGTTCAATCATTTATTAGAACAGGAATGGTCGAATACCCAGGCGAGCAAAAAATAAGGGGTGACGCCCGACATGACTAGTCTAAATTGTCCGTAGTACCCGTCTGGACTAGTCTAAAATGTCTGCACTGATGTTTGGACTAGTCTGAAATGATTTGCAGCTAGTCAGGACTAGTCGTCTTCACGAGCAACGTCTTGCATCTAAAATAGACTAGTCCAAAACATGCTCTAATCTTGTCATGGCTAGTCCGTTTTGTATGTGCATACTGTCCAGGCGCGTCAACTTGAAGGCAAAGCTAGAAGAAACGGAGGCGATAGGTGGATTCGAACATTCAAGCCGACAATATTGGATACCTGACTAGTCTAAACTGTTTTCGATAGGTAACGCGGACTAATATGAAGAGTCATCTATATTGATCATGACTAGTCGTTTTCGAGAAAGTAATGCCAATTCTGGTCCAGGCTAGTCTATCCTTCCAAACAGTCTTTATTGCTTGGACTTAATCATTCGGACAATTCGTTTAGACTAGTTTGTATTGGACCTAGAACGATGTATCTAACGAGAGTTGGCTATTTATGTCCTTTTAAATTTTTACAGTGTAATAACAATCAAGAATAATTTTATTCGAAAAATTAATTTTAATACATTGATATGAGAATATTATTTTATTTCAATATAAAACCTAATGATTTGAATTTAAAAATGGATTTAAACGGTAGAATCATAGTTCATTTTCAAATTTAAACAGGAAATATTTTAAATTAAGATAAACATAAACCATGAGATGAAAAGCAAGATCTTTTTTTGAAATATATATTATTATTTTGATTTTGATTTAAATTTTAATTGTTTTTTCCAATAGAAAATAATTTTTTCCAAATGTCAATAATCAAAAAAAAATTCTGTTGAAGGAAATTAAAAAGATTCTGAATTAATTTTGCTTAGCTTTATTTAACTAATTTTCGATTTTATTACAAGTAGTTTCTATAAATATTAAAACTTGAGAAAACGCCGAGTCAAACTGTAGTAATTAGTGTCTTCAGATGTATATTGACATGTAGAAGTTGATCACTAGATTATATGGCTCAATCGGGTAGATGACGAGTAAGTAACACAAGGTATGCATGTACGAATCTAACTTTCTGCACATATTTCTATCATTTAGACTAGTCAGAACTAGACCTCTACATAAGACTGAAACCTAATAGATGTCGCGTCACAGGCGCTCTGCCTTTTTTAATTTAAAATCTCTTTTCGGACGGGATTTCCAGACGGGGTTAAAGATTTCAAACCATTTTGGACTAGTCATGTAGTAGGACTTTTTGAGAAAACGACTAGACATGACGCATAGTCACGACTAGAAAAATGACTAGTCTTTTTACCCGTCCTTTGCTCGCCTGGGTTGGGTCTTGAACGGGTTGTATTTGCCATCACTGTGAAAGATACACGAATACCATTCGCTCGTATCGATAACCTTAGCTCCATACCCAAAGAAAATGAAATTTTATTCTCAGTCGGAACTATTTTTCATATTGACGCTATTGAGCAGTACGATCAAGGATATTTTATCTATTTGACTCAGACAAGCGATATTGAACAACAATTTGACGCGTTAGTCAATTGGTATATGAAAGAAGTCGGAGAATCATCTCATCTACACGACTTGGCATGTTTTCTTATGAATAAAGGTGATTACCCACTTGCTGAAACATATTGTCGACGCATACTTAACGAGTGTGACTTGTCCTCAGACGATAACAGGCGTATCATATGCTATTTCTGCCTGGCCTCTGTTTGTGTCAATCAATCCAATCTCACGCAGGCTATGGCCTAACCATTGGAAAGCGAATGTTCGTCGATGAAAACAACATATTTTTTGCCGAAAGTTATATGCATATCTCTCAAACACTCATAGCCATGGGCCGATTCCATGAAGCACTGGAATACTCACAACATGCTCTCTCCATTGCGCTACTCGCTGATTCTCAAGATAGCGACATTCTCTCGTCAATATACAATCAACTAGGAGAAGCGTACCTTGGATTACGTGATTATTCCAAGGCACTAAACAATTTTAAACTGTCATTAAAATATGACGTAAACATTCCGTAACATCCGAATTTAGGTACTACCTATTGCAACATGGGTTATTTATATGTTGATTTAAAGCAGTATGAAACCGCTATAGAGTATTTCCAAAAAGCACGGATCATTAAAAAAGCATCACTACCATCCGAACACTCAGAACACGGCCTGTGTGAATGTGGACTCGCTACTGCCTATCTCAAAAATGGTGACTACCAACAAGCCTTGACAATGAGTCAATCAGCATTAGACTGTGCGCTTCACCAAGTACCTATTGACTTATCATCTGTTGCCACCGCATACGTTAACTTAGGACAGATATACACGGCGTCGGGAGACTATGTACAAGCTGAAAGTTTATATAAGAAAGCACTACAGCTTTACGAAGAAAAGTTGTTTACCATACATCCAATTTTTGCGCAAACCCATAAGTTACTTGGTGGTATTTATCAGGATATGGGTAAGCGAAAACAAGCCAGAAACAGTTATGAATGCGCTTTAGCTATACATAATCG